AACAATTATGAAAAAAAAAAAGTGTGCCTTTGTTTCCTGTTGCTGATGAATGCAATGAAGTCACAGACCAGGCTAGTGCATCACAATCTTTTCCATCACAATGAATTATGCTGTCACAAACAGGATACAGCGCTCTACAGGGCAAAGAGGCTGCGGCTGAATTAGCACAAACATTACTGGCAGCAAGACAGCAAGAATCTAGAACATGGGAGAGTTTGCTCCCATTTTCTAAAAACATACTAGTTTTTGTACCTGATATAGAAGTAGTACTTGCTTCTCCTGGAGACAAGCAGGAGATAAAAATCACCACTAGCCACGATACAGAGATTCCTAATGTTAACATTTCAGAAAACAAAATTTTATTTCTTAGCTGTTTTTCCTATACGCACTTATTACTTTTAAGAAAATAGGTTTACACTATGTATGCATTTTCGTTGCCTTCTCTTTTTCACTTAACGTTTACTGGGAACAATTTCCAATACCATTAAATATGTCAATGTAATTTAATAGCTATAGCTATCTAAAACTCCATGTTGTGGAACATTATTTAACAACTCCCCCCCCCCTTTTTTTTTGTATAATTCTGTTACTAGGTTCAAATCGTATCTGTAACATATAGGTAAACACTCTTTTTACATGTGTTTCTGTTTCAATTTATGATTATTTCCTGAGGAGACATTGTTAAAAGACTGTTCACTTTTTACTAACAAATATATTGTGTATTCTGAAGTAAATATTTAAAATTAAAGGTCTAGGGAATTTTAACAATAAAGGAACAGATGGGCATTAAAAACTTTATAGCCAAACTTGATATATGTGTCTACCTAACAAGATAAACAAGTGGGAAATTCAGTCATTAGCGAATTTCAGAAGCCCATAAAATAGATCTATTCGCAATGCCCTTTGGGCCTGCAAGCCATAAATGTGTAATTTCATAAAAATCTTTTTCCAGAATCTCCTAGCACAACGAACTGGTCATCAAACCAGTGATTCTGCGCACTCTGGGGCAGCTGTGTGTCCCAGAGCTGGGCTGGTTGTTAGCTGATCCTGCCGCTAGAGGGCAGCCAGGGACAGGGAGAGGATTGGCATCCTTGGTGCAGGTCCCTCTTCAGCCTGGTCTTTACTTCACCAGATACGAAGGGGAACTCAAAATCAAGGCACAAGGAGAAAAAAAAAATAAGTGAGGTAATAAGTGAGCACATAAGAAAACCTCTTCATAAAACTATTCTCATTTCCTTGTAAAGATAAACCAAAAGGCAGAATTCTGATGGTTTCCACAATTAGGAACAATAAATGACCAGGAATCTAGCTTAAGGCTGGATGATAGCTTGAACATTCTATGACCTTAGGGCTCTGCAGATGGAAAAGGGACCCAGAGCAGATGCTGAGCCTCCTCGGTGTGGGTTAGCAGGACCAGGCTCCTTACCTTCGCACACCTGGATTCCACTTGCTGTCTACCTCTCACTAGCTGCGTAATCATGGAAACACTCTTTTGAGCTTAGTTTTCTGGTCTATAAAAGGTGGCTTGTCATTGAACCTGTCTACAGATGGTTGTGAGCACTAATTAGAGATGGACGGACTCATTTTGACAAGTGGCTCATGCTCAGTGCTGTTATTTCTGATCTTCACTTTTCCGCTGAGATGTTTCCTTTTTCTCATGTGACATGCCTACACCAAACTTCTCACCTCTCTCAGTAACTCCCTAACCTTAAGTTACGTCTTTGGCTGTTTCTTGAGTAGTCCATAAAACATAGCATCATCTCTATTTCCTCTCCTCTTACAACCATATCCAATTAGTTTGCAAAACATGTGGATTAGTTCTCTAATGTGTCTCATCTGGCTTAATCTCTCTTCTTGTCACCAGAACCCAGACCTCTGAGACCTGCTCTCTTAACCAGCAGATTTTTGGATCAAGTGGGCAGATCTTATTATGGCATTTTCCTTTTCAAAAATCCCTTGGTGGCTCCCCCATGTCCTGAAATTATATTCTAATCCCTGTTAGAAGGTGGCAAGGTCCACCACAGTCTAACCCGATCTTCCTCTAGATAATTCTCTCTTGCTGATATGCTTATTGTCTCTTCTCTATCCAACTGGTTGACTTGCAGTTCCCTGGTATGGTTCAGATTTAGGAGGTAAAAACATAAGCACTCAATTAAATATGAATTCTAGGTAGTCAACAAATGATATTTGCAAATATCCCATGCAATAGGCATTTGTAGTCAATTGTGCAATAAGACAAACTATCTGAATCTCACATTTAAGTCAGAATTTCATATTTCATCTGGCAAGCCAACTGCCTTCCTGCCTCTGCCCATGTACACAGACTTGGATGCTTAAATCTCTCCCTGCACCGGAGCTCAGGCCTCCATGAAGTCTGCCTGGGTCAGGTCTGCCTTACTGGCACTTACTATATACATCATTTATTTGGTTCCATATATAAGATGTCCAGTGCCCTATATAATTCCCTTTCTCTAAATAAATGAAGAAATGATCAAAGGTAGAGATTCTATTAAAAAATAAGAGGAGTTAATTATCTTTGGTATCTTTGGTGGGGTGATATGTGGCTGACCAGTAATATAGAGTGTAAGGAGATGAGAGTGTAGGAGAGGGAATGTCTGGAGGCCATTGGAGGCCACCTGGACCTGATATGCCCATACACAAAAATCAACAGGCCACAGGCCCTTTCCCCACAGCCTCAGGTCAGGGTGCATGACTGCCTGACCTTGGCTTGCTTCTTCCCACAACATACTTCAGCACTTCCTACAATTGTGGGTTACATTTGGTGACATCTAAATTTTCTCACCACTTTGCAAGATCTCTTCATTAATCTGTTTCCACTTATATTTGGATGAGGGGTACAATGTGAACTGTAAATACATCATGATTATAGGAGTGCTGAAAACCAAACAATAGATCTCTGTTTAATTAGCAGAAAAGCTACAAGTAATAATTTTTTTAAATTAGGTAACTCCTAATTTTGTAACATACTCTCAGAGCTTAAAATTACACGAAGAAACCTGTGAAACTATTAAATATTCTCAAGAAATCCCTTTTGAATTTTAAATAACTGGCATTTCATGAGTGCATTTATGAGCATCTGTGGGCAGCTAGAAAGTAATGACCAAAAAATAAGATATCTAGAAGTGAAAAAAAAAACATTTTTAGAATAAAATATATAACCCATTTATTTGTTTTTTAAATTCTTCATTGGTGTTTATAACATTTTTTATTCTCATAAAGTAAACAGATGAATGTGTTGAATGAGGAAGTTCTTTTGAAATTGTTATGGGAATGAATTCAACATTAATGGAAACCAGATCATGGCCAGCATCCCTGACTGTTAGGCTCATGAAGTGACAATTGATTAGGTTTCACTAGTGGACATGATAAAATGAGTTCAGAATTGACTTTGAATTGAGTCTTCTGGAAGTAAGTGTTAAGAGTTCTTTTGATTTGTTTCTTCACACCCATCATATTTCCCAGATTAATTTTGTTTTCTTCTATAATTTAGAATTTAAATTCAATTAATGTATCTTTCTTTCTGTTCAAGAATATTATATATTGCTACAGTTTCCGTGGAGTGAATTTCAATGTTCTAATCAGAAAACAAAACAAAAAACCTGTAAGTGCTCCTAGAAAAGGCAACAGACCTTGGGATCCACATGGAGCCAGAACCAGGCCTCCTGTGCCCAGAGAGATGTGACTGGGTCAGCTTTTCTGGCTTCCAGCTTTGCTATCTTCCTGTGACAGTTTCCACACATACTAATCATAAACTGTGATAAAGCAAAATAACAGTAACACATTTCCTCTGCTCTTCCCTTTCAATAAACCACCAGAAATTTACTCCTTTGTCATTGTGGTAACATTAATCAAGTTATTTCAGTACCAATTAGCTGCAGTCATGGTGCGTCATTTAAACAAACTTAACTTGTTCAATGCAAGAAATGTTAAAAGACTCTGGAATGTCCAAGTTTTGATAGGAAACATCAACTGTTCCTGGACTTAACCCACTCCCTTTTGAACTTTCTACTTCCAAACCCAGTAACAATTCAGATCACTCAGAAAACAGATGCCGAATGAATGTTTTAAAATAATAATTTCAATGTAAATAATTACCCTGAACCATTTTTATTACTGGAAGCTGTTCAGTGCTGGATTTTGTGTGTATGTGTTTCTAGAAAGTTCTCTTTTATCTTAAATTCAATCTAAGAGAAACTTTGCATTTAAAAAATTCTTTATCATAGGGCCCTCCCTGGTGGCACAATGGGTTAGAGCATAGCACTGTGAAACTACCTGCAGCCACTAAAGCATGACTTCAGTCCTGCCCAGGGAGCTGACCCACATGGTGCAGCAGACTTCTCCTGTCTCGCCTGCTGCTCCCCTCAGCCATGTACTTTGTCGATGCGCCTGTTCTGCTTCCCACACTGTCTCTGGTGAAGCCTCTCACCACCCCTGCACCTCTGGCCTATACCCCAGTTCTGCATGCATAAATAAATGAATCTTTTTTAAAAATCCTATCATCACTTCATTTTATGTAAATTTTAGCTTAAGTTTAAATTTTAGTTTAATACATCCCCATTTTTGCTTGAGGACATGTATTCTATGCTAGTATTGATCAAAGGTATGGTAAACAAGCTATTATTAATCATCATTCCAAAAGGATAGAAAAAAGACAAATATCAAGGAAGTATTTCTCAAAAATGCTCTTCAATGACATTATTTATAATATCTTAGCCACCTTTTGATAGCGAAGCTGGATAAAAGAGTGGCGATAAAGTGATTTTAAAGAAACAACTATTTAAAAATTACTTCTGTTGGTGTGAAAGCTGAGGAAGTCATAGCTGAGTCTGATTCCCACATTCTTCAGAGATACAAGCAAAGCTCAGTGAAAGTTGCATGAGGATCTACCCTGAACTCACACACACTGTCTGTGTTTAATCCTTCTAGCTCATGACACTCATGCAGACATAATCACAGACAGTCTTAAAAAGGACACTTACCTTCACTCACTTGCCGATCAAGAACCATTTCAAGCTCATCTCTAGTGAATCATCTCTTTCTTTTCACTTCTCCAAACCCTAACAAGTTTTTCTTCCATGTGTTCAGTGTCCAGACACCTAGAGATTCCTGTACATTCTTCTAAAAAGCTGTCATTACCTACATTACCCAAATCTAGTTCAAAAGTGGGAAGAGAAAAAAAAAGTCCAATTTGCAAGCTGTTTACGCCTAACAACGACAGTGAAGCTGCTAAGCTTTGAACTCCATGAATTAAATGTTGTTTGGCTAAATGGCATGCACACTTCCTCCTATTCTTTCTGAACTTAGTTTTCCTGCCTCCAGTGGGGTTTTTTTCCTTTCCTGGGCTATAAATAGGCTAGTCGTAAGAGTTCTGAGGAAAGAAGAAGGCAGGAAATGTACTTGATTTCAAAAAGCAGTTGTGTGTGTGTGTGTGTGTGTGTTTCTTTCATGTAAATAGCAATAAACAAGCTAAGGAAAACTCAGCTTTGGTATCTGCACTGCATCATAGTCAAAATATCTTTTAATACCTATAGACTCCATTTTGCTCAAAGTGGTTACTTCCCATAAACAGTCTGGGTTTGGAAATGTATCATTTTTCTATTGAATATCATGACTAAACCTACATCAAATCAATCATTCATTTCCTAGAGAAATGCCACTTAAATTGAATTTCCAGGGGGCAATGGAGATTACCATTCTTATCTCTTTTCACTCAAAAAGAAGGAGGTGGAGTGTTTTTTGAGGAAGTTTCTACAAAAGAAAGATATCATCAGGTATCTTTTATTTAGAAAACATAATAAATTTGTAATTTATTATGTTCAATTTATAAGTAGGTCATCCATATGCATTTGCTATTCAAAGTTTTCAACTTTTCTCAAAAATATATTTAATGCATGCTAAAATAAAAAGTAAATACTGTTTTTTACATGTCAAGTTGAACAAAATGTTGATATTGTTCGATGGAGAAATAAGTACCCAAAAAAAATAGAAGGTACAAGAATGGAGGGCAATTCTCAAATTCTTTCAGAAAATGCAGTGTTCATACTCTAACAGGAAACATTAATATTGAATCTGTAATGGGGAGTGTAGCCCTGGAGAGGGGGAGCGGTTTAATTTGGCATATACATATTTTGTGATTTAAAAAATTTTATACAATGTATGCCATGTTTTACAAACTTATTAATTTTAAAGACAGAAAATTAATAATGTTATTTCTTAAGGTCTTTTATATGAGTCCATTTGTTCTCTTAATCAACAAATCTGCCATTTATCTATCCAGCACTCACTGTTTGCTGTCTGGTAACAGCTGCTCTTTACATTGGGGTAACACTTTGCGATGCAATACAGAGATAGCTAGACGGACACTCCACAACCAGTTCATCAATAAACTTGGATCAGACTCTCTGGGGTGAGCCTTAATAATCTTCATTTTAACGCCTCATGATTCTGATGCTCCCTGATGCATGCGAAACTATTCTGTTTCTGTTTTTGTTTAATATTCCATCTCCTGAAGAATTTGAAGCAATTGGTTGTTGTTTATATGCTAGAATAAATTTTAAGATGTCTTTTACATTGGCGACTCCTATGAAGGCTAGGAGCGTTTTTACATGTAATGGTAAGAAGACAAACATTTCCTAGTTGCTTTGGAGATGTTAGCAGAAGTAAGGAAGGCAAAGTAATGGGAGTAAAGCTGATGGTATTTAAGAGAGACACAAAGGAAGTCTCACATTTGGGGTAGTCATCACAAGATGGAAAGAGTCAAAGCAAACTGTATATTTGAAAATGATGCGTTGCCCAAAATGAGATAAAACCAAAGAAAACATGAAGAAATTTAAACTTTCTAGATGAAAACAAAATGGCTAATCCCCCCTTCTTCTTTGTCTTTTTTTTCTTTTTGTTTGTTTAGTGATGTGATTACTGTTATCTGACTTGGTCATTTCTTGTCTGTTTATAGCCTTAATGCAGGAGCCTGTCTAATAGAAACAATAGCTAGAACAATGAACTCAGCCAGAGCTGATCAGGGAAAAGCAAGAATATCTCTATCCCACGCACAGATGGGGAGGAAAAGATTTCTTTAAAAAGAGAGACAGACAAGCGTGAATGACCTCCTTTAATAGCAAAAAGGAAGGAGTAAGCTCCTGGTTAGCAGGACGTAACAGCTGCCGTGCATTGCCAGGGCTGAAAGTTCAGGAGCTGACACCAGCGAGGAAGGGCTGGCAATGGCTGATGTCTCTGGGGCTGGACTCTTCTAACAGACCCCAAGCCCACTTATCAGGGGTTCATTGTTCCCAGGAAATGTTCCTTCTCTTTTGGTGGAGAAAGCTTTTGCTTCTCAAAAGTAACAACTTTACCAACTCCCCATATTGCTCATTTCTAGAAAAGAAACATTAAAACATTTACAAGAATGGAAAGGCTTTGTGCACTATCTGAAACTTATGTGGACTGTCCCAAAAAGACATTCAAAAGAAAGTCAAAGACCTCCCAGGAAAGATAGTATTTCACTTTCCATGAATATTTTGGCTCTGTAAATGGAAGAAAATGTATATAACATGAAAGAAACTCAAGAAAACATCCTTGAGGAAAATGTATAAAAAGTGTGTTTTCTTGCTCAAACCAACAGCATGCACTGTATGCATCCAAGCCCATATGCCTTGTAGTTATTTTAAAGGGTAAGCTATCTTGGCTTACAAAGTGCAGAACTTGTAGGAGATTCCCACAGGGGTGGAGAGGAAATCACCTCCTACCCCTCTGGGTTCTTCTCAGACTGGTAGAATCACATTAACGTTAGATAGATTAGGAGAAAAGGGACAAGTTAGGTTACCTGCCTGTAAATTCTAGAGTAAATAAGATCAAGCTAGAGGACTAGACCCCCTTTCTGCTGTGGATGCTGGTGCCTGTGGATTTCATCCAAGCCCTGATCTGGAAAAGGAAGCGTGGGAAAAGGAGGATGAAGCCGGGGAGTCACACACCTGCCCCCAATTTGACTGCCTCATCACGTCTGGATGACTTTCAAACCATCGACTATCAATTTCCTCATCTAGTCTTCAAATTAGAATAATACCTACCTTTTATAATGAAGGGCGATTAAGCAACCCTCACAACCCCTGGCCCCACAACAGTCTCTAATGGTAACCTAAACTGATAATGACAATTTGTCTCCTCTATTTCATTGTCAGAATAGCCTGCAAAGTGGTTTTTGCCACCCTTTGTCTAGCTGATGTGCAAGACAGGGATTTTTCTCCCTGCTGTTTTGGAAATCTACAACAGCAGTTATGGCAGGGTGAGATTCAACAAGAAGAAAGGGGGGACGGAGGGAGAGAATGGGACAGAAGAAGGAAGCGGGGAGAAAGGGGGAAAAAGAGGGGAGGGAAGGAAAGAGGGAGTAAGCAGAAGCAGGCAGGCGGGTTCATTTGTGCTTTGTCATAGATGATGCAGACGCCAGTCATTAGAGTTTTCATTATAGGGAGCCTGGTCCTCAAAGGTGACCTAGTGATACCTTAAACATGGTTTTAAGTGTTAGGCTACTTCATTAGCTCTTCGGCTTCATTATTTCATGTGCCCTTACAAATGAAAACCAAAAGGCTGTGAGAGGGCCTTGGACCAATGGGTCCACTGAGTTAGTAAGTTCTTCCTCCTTTGAGGCCCTCCCCCAGCTCCATTCTCAGTACGCTGTGCTCAGAGAGCAGGGAAGACCTTCATCCTCCCACACTCAAGTGTAGCATGAGAGAGCCCAACTTCCCAGGGAAGCAGCACCCACCATCTCACAGCTAAGGCTGGCAGAAGTGCTCCACCCAGCCAAGCCTTGTGATAGGAAGAACGTTTCTGACTGATTTAGGCCAGACTGTGTGCTTTGCTCTGGGAATCAAGAATAGCAGAATCTTCAGCAGGCCGAGGCCGGAGGAGGGTCGTGATTTACTGTGCACTCAAACACTTGCTATCCTGCTACTGTGACATTTACAGATTGAGGGTGCCGCACTGTTCTGTTCACAGGCTAATAGCGGTTATTGCCTTATCTTTTTTTGGACCTAAAAGCTCATCATGGTTTCCCAGAAGAAAAGGGATTATTGTGAAAAGAATAAAGTGTTTACTCAGAGAAGCAAAAACGTTCTCTTCTGATGATAAACTACAACAGAGGTCTTAAAGTAGTATAGGGTAACTGATGTGAACTAGAACCAGCTTCTAGAAGTAGCTGAAATGTATCTTTTTCTTTTCTTTTTTTTTTTTTTAAGTGAGGTGAATCTGTCACAGTTCATGACTCCAAAGGATAAAGCACCAAAAGTTCACAGGTTTACCTGAGAAGGAAGCAGGAATTTTATGCACTCGCATAACTAAGCCTCAGGAAGAACAAAAGAAGCCCATTAAGATACTCAGGAACCAACCCTGGAATACCAGCATTACTCTTTCTCAAATCTCTGATTCAGACTCTGAAACTAGATTCTGCAGGGCTTCTACCCTCACCAGGACTGTGAGGTGACCAGAGAGGAGCGAGGTTCCTAGGGAGAAAACTCCCATGCAGGACTCAGACTGGCTGGGTCACATGCCCACCTCTTGTAGTAAACACTGTGACCCAGGATGAGGTCATTTCTTATGACCATCAGTGGCAGAGGCTGACTCGGCTGAAGGGTAATGTGGGGAAAGAGCTGAACTGACAGAACTCCAGGGCTCCAGAACACGCCTCCCCTTCAGACACCAAAGGCAGAGTGTGGGTTGTGCTAGATCAAGGTAAGCCAACAGAAGGATGACGAATTTGCAGTGCTCAGAATTCTGGTTTGGTGGCTGGTGTCTAAGCAAAGACATTTCTTCTCCTTCGTGTGTGCTAGCTGACAGCTTGTAAAAAGTAGGAAAATTCAGGATTAAATTTGCAGCCTAGAAAAACCTGGGATTAACTGATGACCTGAACAGGGAGCTTCCACTCCAGACCTTTCAAATCTGGGCTCATGAGTTTCCCAGTGAAACAAAGGTAGGTCAGGAAATCCACTCCTGATTTTTTGAAATAGTTTTTACCAGTGTGGAAAGGATGTTATTGTAGGTTGAAT